TATATAACCAGCAGGGCATGATGAGATGTCTGTGGGCAACCCCCAGAGGAGCCTCTGGGGTATGGCTCTGCGGGCCACAGGAGACTCTGGATTTTACATGAGAAGGGACTGGCAGAGGAGTGATGTGCCAGAATGCATCCTCCCGACACAAGGATGGAACAGCCGCACTGTCAGGGGAGCAGGCCAGCCCAGAAGGTGGTCTGGATCCTGTGAGAAGCACAGGGGTGTGTTTCTGAACCCAAGGGTGTGCTAGGCAGGCATGGGTGTGTTCAAGGGCAGTCAAGGAAGGAATGAGCTAGGGGAAGAAGATTGCACAGGAACATGAAAAGTTGGAAAGGCTGTGAGATGCTCAAGGGAAGCTATAGCCTCAGCAGTTGGATAAAAAGACTTGAGCTGGAAGCAACTGGGGTTGTCCATGTAGCTCTGGGAGTTGACACCTTCAGTTCCATATCTGCTTCCTAGAAGGGCACACAGTGCAGAGCTCTAGGTATACCAGGCCTCAACAGCCATGAGCCACTGTGTGTATCCCAGAAACAACAGTCTCAGAGGTCAAATAGATTTGGGGACTGACAGCACTTCTGGTTGTCATGCCCAGGGGCATGCCTGGGCAAAGCTCTGAGAACTAACTGGCCAGGAGGGCCCTTCCCACCACCCTCCTGCATTAGACCCTGGGCCATCGGCTCAAGCCACAGCACCCTCTGGCGGCACATAGGGGAACTATTATTCGTACGCACCGAGGTCCGGCCCCTGAACAGGCGCACTGGCTCGCTGGGGTCCCCGGTGCTGAGTGCAAACGTGCAGAGCGCATAGGCTGACTTGTCCTCAAACCCAGCCAGGAGCTGGTGGAGACCTGTGGGGGGGGTGGGGGGGAATACAGTGATGGCTATGCAGCTCAGCTCCCAGCCTTACTCCCCATCCCTGAATCCCTGGATGGGGGAGCCACCAAATTTGGGGAGCTTATACATGTCGTCAGATAGGTTCCGTGCTTATAACCCTGGAAATTGGGTGACGGGCACATGGAGCTCATTATTCTATTCTACTACTGTATATGTTTGAAATGCTCCATAATATAAAGTGTTTTTAAAGCACCTAAGGAGGGGACATTTTGGCCCACAACGTGACAGGGTATGCAAGGGGCAGCCAGTCCCCCAGCCCCCAGCCCAGGCCCTCGCTAAGGCAAGGACAGGCCAGCAGTCAATAGGGCCAGCCCTCTCAGCCAGAATAAACTGCAGCGCCTTTGTCTCCAAAACTCACAGCACCCCCACTCCCACTCCCATCTTCTCAGAGCTCCCTGGAGCTGGGTGTGTAGGGAGAGTGGCAGCTGCTCTTATAGATAGTGAAACAGGTGAACACAGGCTCCATGGTGGGGGCTAGAACCTGAGATTCCTGATTACTAGTTGGGATTCCTCCACTGGACCACCTCCAGATTCTCAATTCCCAATAGATAAAAGAAGAGATAATAAAGGAGATTAATACCTTCAGGCTTTAACTTCTCCAGAAACCACTTTCTGCAAGAGAAACGAAGGTGAATCAGACAACAGGAGCAGCTGGAGCTTCCTACCATCTTCTCTGGGCTGCACTCCTCAGGGAGTAGAGCCCTGGGACGGCCATATGACAGGACAGAAAATGCCGTCATTCAAAATGAAGAGGAGTAACAGGAAAAAGGATGGAGGCATACAGGCAATGCACAGATCAATAAACCTATGAAGACCTCAACCTCACTGGTAATTAGAAAAATGCAAACTAAAACCAAATGTGGCTAACACTTCACATCCCCCACACTGCAAAACACTGAAGCCCTAAGCGCTGGTGAGGGTATGGTGCAACATATGTAAGGTACAGCTGCCCTGGCAGACATACTGGCGATCCAAAAGCTCAACATATACAGATCCAAAACCCAGCAAAAGCACTTCTGTGCGTATGTCCTCCAACCCCGGCCAAGGGTATTCAAATCGGGGTATTTGTATCCTAGAGATACACAAGGACCATCTGAGGGTGTCCAGAGCGCTGGATAGTTTTAAGGAAATCCATTTTCAGATCTCAACTTCTTTATTTCCTTTTTCCTGAAATTGATCTGCCACGAATGTACCTCTCCAGCGGGTGGGTTCCTCTTGCCCATCTCCACTTACACAATCACATTCTCACACTTTACAAAAGAAAGAAAGGCATGCCTCTCCCCCATCCCTAATCCCTTCTCAGGACAATGTGAAATATTGGTGCTGACACCAAGACAGTGAATGACCCACAGTATTAGGTAACCAATCATTTCAAAGTTCAGGTGGTTTTGTGGCCAGGCGCCTGCAAGGGGAGCACTCACATGTAGGGGCCAGGGAGGCCCCCAAGGGCGTTGAAGCACAGACAGGTGTCCTCCACCAGTACGGGCCCCTGCACCTGCAGCACATGGAAATGGAGCCCTGAGACCTGTGACCAGGAGTGGGCCCTGTCCCTAGCCTGAATTCCTAGGCCACCCTGGCTGGGGCCAGACACACAGCTAGTTGTGATCTGTAGCAGCAGGAAACAGCTACAGGAAACAGCCCTTGGGTAATCTCTTATCTTCACTTTAGAGATAGGAACACCAAAAACTTGGCAGGTTGTAAAGCTTATTCCAGGCACAGCAACAGGAGAGCTGAAAGCTGAGATTCACACTCAGGCTCTTCATAAAGTGCTCTTTCTCAATTCCACAGAGATGTGTGAGTGCAGCGGTAGATAGATATGTGTGGGGACAATGTAGGGATTGGAATGTATGTATCTGAAAATCAGAGAGAGAAGTGTGTGTGTGTGTGTGTGTGTGTGTGTGTGTGTGTGGTGGTCTGGGAGATACTATGCAGTCAATGTTGAGAAGAAAGAAACATTAATTGGCCCCACTCTAGCTGGCCTGGGCAGGTCCTTGAAGTTTTGACCAACTGTGCCCACCCTATTATTCTCTGCCTGAGCCCAGCAGGCACAGCCCCCAGGAGCCCCCAGGACAAGAGGAACAAGTATGGGACACGCGAGGAACAAGCACCTGGCGAGCTGCCTCCTGACACTTCTGTATGGAAATCTCATCGGGCTCTCCCTGGTACTCTGGCACTTATTGGAGAAACAGACACACAGAGAGTCAGGTCACAGGGAGACAGAGAAATGGAACGAGTTTTCAAAAATAAAACAAAACAGAGACATACGGTCAATTTTCTGTGCCACCAAAGTGCATGGAAACTTATCTCCCAGAATCTGAATGACCTGTTCCAAAATGAAAGAACATTTATCACCATTTGTTAACAATTTCCCCATACTACACAAGCTGTCGTCCACTTTTCTCTTCAGGTAATTCTCGGGCCAGTCCCCTCAGGCTTACCAAATTAGGCCCATGAGCCTCACTCCAGACTTCAGGGCCCCACTCCAGCAGGTCAGCTTCCCCATCTGCTCAGCCTCCTACCCCTCCTACTTCAGGTCTCTCTGTTCATGTTAACCAGCTACCCGGAATACCTTCTCCCCTTCTCCCTGCTCCCTGCAACTCTACCCAGCCTCCTATTCCAGTTCTCGATCAGGGGTTACCCAGAATTCAAGAAGCCTGTAAACCTGGATGGGAAAAAATACCTTTTTATTTTCACTACTCCCTAGCTGAAATTTAGCATCTTTTCCAATTGTGAATATAGAAAACCAAAACAGCATCAGCAGTTCCTGTGACCTTTAAATCTATTAAAATCACACATGTGGGGTTGAGCATCCGTTTCAGCTCAGGTCATGATCCCAGGGTTGTGGGATTGAGCCCTGCATCAGGCTCCATAGTAAGTGCGAAGCCTGCTTAGGATTCTCTCCCTCTGCCCTCTCTTCTGCTCACTCTCTCTCTAAAAATAAAAAATAAAATCACACATGTTGTCATATTCCATTATAGCTATAGCAGAATCTCACAATATTTACAATATTCTTTTAAAATTATGGTAACAGGGGCGCCTGGGTGGCTCTATCGGTTAAGCCTCCAACTTCAATGCAGGTCATGATCTCACGATTAAGTGAGTTTGAGCCCCGAGTTGGGCTCTGTGCTGACAGCTCAGAGCCTGGAGCCTGCTTTGGATTCTGTGTCTCCTTCTCTCTACCCCCCCACCACCCCGTTCGTGCTCTGTCACTCTCTATCTCAAAAATAAATAAACATTAAAAAAATAATAAATGAATAAAATAAAAGTATGGTAATTACACATTGCTAGATTGAATCCTTTAATGCGTTAATAAAGTATATGTTAACTAGATCACAAACATTTATATTTTGAACTTTCTTTCCTTTTTTTTTTTTTAAAAGTTTATTTATTTGTTTTGAGAGAGAGAGCACACAAGCTGGGGAGCGGCAGAGAGGGAGAGACAGAATCCCAAGCAGGTTCCATGCCATCAGCACACAGCCTGATGCAGGGCTCGAACTCACCAACTGTGAGATCATGACCTGAGCCAAGCTCAAAAGTTAGACACTTAACCAACTGCGCCACCCAGGCGCCCCTACAAATATTTATATTTTGAGAATCGTACAACAGAATTTCCTTTGTGATGGTGCTCTGTTCCGCGTGTCACTACTTGTCTGTTTGGTCTGGCCTCAAGATCCCAAACTTTTCATTAGCACAGGGCTCTGGCTCCTGAGTAGGACACCCTGTACTGGTACAGAAGTGCGATCATTCTCTATACTGCAGACAAATGAAGGGGCCCCTAATGACTGCATCCCACTCGTCTGCCTGACATATCTAGCGGATGTCACTGATTTTGCACCATGACTCACCTCCTTGGCCATGGCTGACTGAGCAGGGGGAAACCCTTGACCAAAGCAAAGCTAATCAGAGCTAATGTATGGCAGAAGCCTCACTGCCCCCTCCAGCAGGAGGGAAGGAAGCAGAAAAACACCAGCAGGAAAGGGATGAGCATCCAGAGAGAACTACAAGGACTAGATAGGCCCTTGAGAGGCTCAAGTCTTGTGAGACATCACATTGTAACATTGTATTACTAGGAAAAGTCACCTGGTGGTTTATATAAACTTCTGGTGTCCCTATTACTTGCTGCCAAAGGCTATCCGTCCACCCACAGAATCCTCACAGCTAGCCACAAATTCCCAGAGGCAGGAACTCTGGATCCATTGCCTCTCTCACTCCTCCACCCAACTGGTTTGTGAAACAGACCTCTCAAATCATCCCCATTTCACAGAGAAGGAAACAGGCTTGGAGACGCTGAGGACCACATTTCTGAACCGTGGTGGGGCGTGGACGGCTCAGTTTGGATGCCTGCCCCACGCGTTGTCTGGCACTCCTGGGTCCGCAGGGCGGCCTGGATCAGCTCCAGAGGGGTGTCAAGAGGCACGGTTTGGGGTCTAGCTTAATAGGTGACCACTGGGACAGGTACTATGGACCCGGCACTCCTTTGGCTCCCGCAACCCCGAGCTCACAAGCCCGGATCTGTCAACGCCATCATTCTATCAAGGCCAACCACCGGCCGCCCCACTCCGCGCACAAGGCTGTTTCACTCCACGAGGCCCAGCCCGTTCCACACGCCCGGGTCCGCCTCTCCGTGCCCCCTCCACCTGGAGACCGCTTCTCTCCGCCCTATCCTCAGCGGGCCCTGCCACACGCTACCCCCCAGCCGCCTACTGGTCGGCCTCCCGCGCCCTCCCGGCACCTCCTCCAGCTTCTTGGCGTTCCCCGTGACAAACACGATCTTCTTCCCGGCTAAGGGGGCCGCCATGCCGAACCGCACGCATGACCCACAGGAAGCCCCTTTGCCTCCAGTGGCAGGCACTTCCGGCTGGCGCGCGGAAGCGGGCGGCACGGCTTCCGGCTTAGCGTCCCGGACAAGGCAGCTTTAGGCTCCCGGGAAGCGCGTCCTCTGTGAGCGGCAGCCTAGCTGCCTTTGGGGCGAGAAGTCCGCGCTGGGGGCCCGGCTTCCTTGCTCAGACTCCGGGAGCAGAGCGCCTCTTATCTGGTTGAGCAGCCTGGGGCGCCGGGCGCTAGAAGGGGGGAAAATGGCGCGGCCCGTCTGCGCCGGAATTGCGAGGTCTTCCAGAGACTGGCGGTCGAGACCAGGCCCTCCCGCCAAGGGGCGCTCTTTTCGAGGACCAGGAGAGACCATTGCAACCACTGCCCCCTACCCTGCTTTCTCCCCACTCTGGGAAGGGGGCACCGAGGGAGGCTAAGAACCTTCACGGTAATGAGCTGCAGTCTTGTGCTCTGGGCGGTTCGCGTTCTCCGCGGGCGCTTCCAAATCTGCCTCTGAGAGCTGTTTCCTTCTGGGCAAGGGCTGCAAACCTGGGTCTTTATCCTGACCTCATCTTCAGCCCCACTCCCGTCTCTCCTTTCCCGTCAAGTCTGACCGTGGGTTAAAAACAAAAACAAAACCAAAACTTGTTTTAAATTAAGATATAATTAACATATAATACTGTATCAGTTTCAGGTGTACAACTAATGGCTTGATCTTTGTATACATTTGGAAGCGTTCACCTCCGTAAGTCTGGTTAACATCGATCACCTTATGTATTTTTTCTTGTGATGAGAACTTTTTGGATTGACTCTCACTAACTTTGAAATATGCAGGACGTAGTCAACGTGCTACCATGCTGTACATCTCCAGGATTATTTATTTTACAACTGGAAGTTTGTACCTGTCAACCCCCTTCACCCATTCTCCAGTCACCCAACTACCAGTCTGTTCTCGTTACTGTGAGTTTGTTTGTTTTAAATATTTATTTTTGAGAGAGCGTCAGCGGGGGAAGGGCAGAGAAAGAGAGGGAGACGGAGGATCCCAAGTGGGCTTTGCACTGACAGCAGCGAGTCGGATGTGGGGCTTGAACTTACCCTGAGATCATGACCTGAGCTGAAGTTGAGGGTCAACTGACTGAGCCACCCAGGCGCCCCTGTTTTCATTTTTTTAGATCCCGCTACTTGCCTTTGAATTTAAATTTGGCATAGGCTAAAACAAACCTGGTCTTTTCACCTGTCTCCCAGGCTTGAGACCTCCGTGTTTTGACTCCCTCATTCCCTCATCCCTACAGCCTCTCAGATCCATCATGCCTTCTCCATGCCCACTGCCTCAGCCAGTTCTTTGCATCCCGAAAACAGTGAAGGGGTACAGGATGAGATGCCCCAAAATGTGCCAATGTGGCACAAAGATTATTCCGAGTTAAAAGTAATGAAAATGCAATCGATGCAGGAAACGCTCTCTATCTCCCCACCCACCCCCCCAACTGCCTAAATTTACATTGGAAAGGAGAGCCTGCAACAGGAAGAGAAGTATTAATTAACAGAGACCCCCCTCCCTTTATGAAGGCATTTATCTGCATGATAGAGCAACCTTGTTTTTTCCAAATATCTCTTTTCGCCTTGCTAATGAGTTTTCTTCCCTTTGTATCCTCAGTCCCCTACCCCTTCTCCTAGTGAGCCTCACATTGCCCCTTTGTCTTATTGGAGGCAGCAATTTCATTGTCTTGGGATGTCTTGTCTATGTGGATTCCCTATACACATGCCTTTTAAATGTGATTTTTCTCAGGGCGCCTGGGTGGCTCAGCCAGTTGAACGTCCGACTTCGTCCCAGGTCACAATCTTGCGGTTTGTGAGTTTAAGCCCCGCATCAGGCTCTGTGCCTGGAGCCTGCTTCTGATTCTGTGTCTCCCTGTCTGTCTGCTCCTCCCCTGTTCACGCTCTGTCTCTGTCTCTCTTTATCTCTCAAAAACACTAAAAAAAAATTTTTTAATGTGGTTTTCTCCTCTTAATCTCTCATGTCAATTTGATTCTAAATCCTTCTAGGAGGACTGTAGGACAGAGGAAGTTCTTTCTCCCTGACAGTACAGAGTAGGGCGTGCCCCCAGCAGACCCACCTGTACCAGAGGCCTTGGCCCACTGCTGACATCCCCAGTGAACAAATCACCTGTCTCCTTCCTCCAGGGACTCAGCAAGGGCAGATTCAGGGTGGTTCTTTACTGGTGAGGAAACTCCTGACAGAGCATCAGAAGTCAGAGGTCTGTCAGTGCCTGGATGAGTTATTTTGCTTAATGTTCTTGTCCTCTGATAATCCCCCTTTTTTTTTTTTTAGACCCTCAAATTTGTCAGGGAATATCGAAAAATTCCCATATTCTCTAAAAACCTTTGCTCAATGACGTTACCATAGCAGGAATGTTGCAGAGGCCAAAAGGCATTACTGTGCCCTGTGGTGGTGGGGGGGATGGGGGTCTGAAGTTTCCTGTTTAGGCAATTTGATGAGGCAATGTATGAGGGTCCTTGGAGTTCGTCTGAACATAGTGGGTTAAATTCAGGGAGTGAGTGGCCCTTCCTTTGTGTCAGCTGTCTTCCTTCTTCATGACGTCATCGGGAATCCCCAGGGGAGCTCTCCCCAGGGAGCAAAGCTGAGCTCCTGGTTGTGGAAAGCTTCAGCTACAGCCTCAGGCAAGAAGCTCTTCGCCTGGGACGTGTGTCCCTGTACCACACAAACAAATACCATGCAATTTGGTCAGTGGAAGGACCTTGGGAGCACTGGGTGCTAGGGGAATCATCACTGAGGTTGGAGAGGTGTGGACAGTCACCCAGCAAACCATTGGAGCCCATAAAGAGTTATTAAGCAGGGAATATTGTGAGTGGGTATTCGCTTTTGCTACACCTCACTCTAAAGCTGAAGGCCTAGGAGTATAAGAGCTTGTGGGGAGAGAGGAGATACATGAATACCTGTAATTCATGCAAAAGTTTGTGTATATGTAATCTAGTCAGGACTCTTGGTTGCAATGACAGAGATCCTCCTAGTCAACAACAAAACGAAAAAGAAATGTACTGATTTAACTGATAAGCGAAGGTATAAAGAGACAGTCAAGTTCATAGTTAGAAGAGAGCAAAAGGGGATTGCAGTAGTTCATTAAACGAACTATGCTTGAGTTCAACTATGTGAATTTTTACCTCCTAAAATTTAGTAAGGAATATAACGGGAAATCTCTTTGGAATCACACACCCTTCCGTTGTGAGGGAAATCCCGCTAAGCAAAGAAGGATGATTCTTGCTCTCAAAGGAGCTCGTGAGGTCCTGTCAATTCTACCTCTGAAATAGTTCTTCAGTCAGTCCCCTCCTCTCTACCCCCACTGCTACTGTCATGAACCCGGCCCTATTTTGTTCATACCTAGACCCCGGCGGCAGCAGCTGTCTCCCCGTTCTCCCTGCTGTCTTCCACCCCCTCCACAAATCTTAATGACATGCTTGGGCTCCAGGATTCTGAGAACCTGAGAACTAAATGAAAGCTGTGAAAATTATATCTGTTTGAGGCAGCGAGGAAGAGTTCTCTCTATTGACTGTTGCTTTGCCCTTCCAGAAACTTTCTGTGCATGTGCAAATTACACACAAAAATGTATGAAGTTTTAATTTTTAGGTTTTAGAGGAAGTTCATGTATTTCATTAATCGCTACATCCAATGTGGGGCTCAAACCTATGACCCTGAGATCAATTGAGCCAGCTACATGCCCTGTGTATTTTTTAGTGTTTTGTTGTTGTTGTTAGTTTGTTTTGTTTTTGAGAGAGCGAGTGAGCAAGGAGGAGAGGGGCAAAGGAAGACAGAAGGAATCTCAAGCAGGCTTCCTGCTTGGTGTGGAGCCTGAAGTGGGGCTCCATTCCACGGACCCTGGGATCAAGACCTGAGCTGAACTCAAGAGTTGGGTGTTCAACCAGCTGAGCCATCCAGGCGCTGCCATAATTTTTAATTTTCAATAAAACTTTTTTTATGGGAAATTTCAACTTATGCAAAAATGTCAAACTTAGCAAAATATGGAAAAAAGCCCCATTACCCAACTTTAACAATTTTAAACATTTGCTATTTTTATTTCACCTATCCTGGCCTGTTTGCTTGCTTAAAATTTAAAAATGTGAATTCTGAATTTCCAAAGTTACGGAAAATAATAAAATAGATGCTGAAGTTCCCAATATTCCGCCTTAACAGATGTTAAAATTTTAACATGGTACCATCTTTTTTCAAATCTTACACTTCATACCATTGGTCCTTTGATCTTTGTGTTATTACACACACAAAAACTTCATATTACTGTTACAGCAAATTCCCAGCAGTTGCTATTTGCTTGTTAAAAAATCTTGAAGAGTGCCTGGTTGACTCAATTGGTTAAACATCTGACTCTTGGTTTTGGGTCAGGACATGACTTCACAGTTTGTGGGGTCAAGCCCCATGTGGGGCTCTGCACGGTCAGCTTGGTATTCTCTCTCTTCTCTCTCTGCCCCTTTGCCCACTCTTGCACGCTCTCCCAAAATAAATAAATAAACATTAAAAAAAATTCTTGAGTTCACATCCTGTCCCCCGTTTTTTTTCCAAACAACTTTATTGAAGTATAATTTTTTCCTAGTTAAGTCTTTTTTTTTTTTTAATTTTTAATTTTATTTTAGAGAGGGAGGGAGAGAGCACAAGCAGGGGAGAGGGACAGAGGGAGAGAGAATTTTAAACAGGCTTCACTCTCAGCGCAGACCCCAACAAGGGGCTTGATCCCACAACCCTGGGATCATGTATGATCTAAGCCAAAATCAAGAGTCAGGTGCTCAACCAACTGAACCACCCAGGCAGCCCTTTAAATAATTCTTAAGAATTAAATGGAAATTTAAATCTCCTCTGGGTATTTAAATTTTGAGTGCTCGCTATGGAAAACTGGGTCACTAATTTTCATATTAGTCTAATAAAGCTAATTTAAAATAATAAAGCTAATGTTAAAATAGGTATAAAAGTGCAGGTCTGGGTACCAAA